TATACATAAAGGAACTAAGTAAAGCGGTAAGTCAACCTTTAAAGTAAGGTAAGATATCAAACGCCTTTTTAAAGCTAATATCCATGCTGAAACTGGACTATGTTTTTCAGAAGCGCCTGGTATCTTTTTTTCTCAGTCAAAACAGGATAATAACATGTTTCAGGTTTTCATTCATATGCCAATTTTCAACCATGAGGTATTCTCTTCCTGTGAACCTTTCAGCTTGTACACATGTTCATTATTAATGTAGACACAGCAGCTGACTTAACTACTAGTACCTTGGAGACAGACACAGTCCTTTTGTGGCTCAACGTTCTGAGTGAGGCAAGATCATTCATTAAATACGCTCTCAATGCTAAACGAGATATGAACGTTGGCCCGCGAGACTTGCAACAATGGATGACGCTATTTATGACCGTGTCCTGCTGTGGTTGTTCATGCGTGGCAGGAGAGTAAATATGTGTATGAGAAATGATGCGGGAGACACACGCATGATTTATTTACGTGGTGTTAAATATTTACACCGTGATAATAATTTGAGTTTTTTTTAGTTGTCTCCAAACTGCTACCTTGCCCATACAGTATAATTGTCATGCGCAGTCGTCTTGTTTCAGTGTTTTGACTTTTTATAAAACAAGAAATGTTTTACGCCTGTTACAGTTTCAATAACTGGTGCATAAACACAGTTTTTTATAATAATTATTAATATTACATTTGTGTTGTGGGAGTTAACGACTGTGGCGTTACGCCTTGGAAGACATTATTGCAGCTCCGTGAGCCGATCAGCAATTATTGGACCGAACGAAAAGTGGTTATATATTTGGGCAACATTATATCCGGAAAGAAGACATTGCATTACTTATAATATCCACATTTTATCATGTCCACACACTGAGACCACTTCATTCCAATTTCTGTTATTATTTTAGTATAAGGTAGCAGGAACGTCATTTCAATTCTCCGAAAAAAATTATATTTTGTTAAAAGTATATGTCAAGGGGCTTTATCAAGATTTCAAAACAACCCGTAACTCGCCATTTTATTCAAGTTATATAAATACAATAAGACATTTAGGTCACATCACATATGGAATATACCGTTATGAATGTTTAAATTTCACCATGGAAACCACTTGTAACCTTATCTGAGGAGTCATATATAGATAAGCGGCAAAGCTCAGACTTCAGTTTCTCTAAATGCTTTGCAAAATATACCGGAGTTCGCCATTAAACCGTAGGACCTTTAATAAACTGTTTAACAAAGCATCAAGCACATGACATTAGTGGAGGATACGATCGAGGCCGAGTTTACCCCCAGGACGAAATGCTGTGTTATATGACATGCCCCGTGTTAAAGCTTTTACCTTTACGTCAATATTTTCATATTAGTCAATGTATCATAATTCGGCTTAGCATAGAATTGATAAATTATGCATTTGTAACGTATTGCACCCATGGAAATATGACCATGGGAAATTCAGAATTATTGGCGAACAACGGAAGAAAGAGGAACTGACTAATTAATGAACAATCCAGTGCTTGGGACCATACAAAGTCCTATAGTTCGCTTGAAGTAGCGTTGATGATTGAAACCCTACAAAACATTTCTGTAAAGAGACTATACGCCCAGGTGATCGCATATTTTATTGATTGTGTCGGCAGATATGCAAATATGCATAATTGATTATGTCTTTTGAAAATTATTGATTGAAGCCTGGAAGGGCCAGGAGAACCAACACTCGAGAACCAGGACATATCTACCTCTGCCGAGCCACGTGCTTCCGGTATAACCACTGACAAAGTAACGTGCTTGAAAAGAAGCATATTTAAATGTATTTTTAAACCTCATTGCGCATAAACAGAGTACAGACAAGTTGTTTTTATATTAAAATATAGTAACTTCTAAATTACTGTTAATTGTTTTTATCTCAAATCTTATTATGAAGTATATCTGCTTATTTACGGTTCTGGTTTTCTACCTAATGAATATAATGTAGACGATTATACAATGGATAGGAAATGGCTGCAATCAAGTGAACAGATTCACCTACTACGTACCTCCCGCTAAACCCAACACACCGCTACTCTCCTCTATATAGGGGCGGTGGGGGAGCCTAGTGGTTAAAGCACTCTCCTCAATATAGGGGCGGTGGGGTCACCTAGTGGTTAAAGCGTCGGCTCGTCACGCCAAAGACCCGGGTCCGATTCCCCACATGGGTACAATGTGTGAAGCCCATTTCTGGTATCCCCCGCCGTGATATTGCTGGAATATTGCTAAAAGCGGCGTAAAACCATCCTCTCTCACTCACTCTCCGCTATATATACACACAGTTATGAGGCCCTGTCGCCACCACTAGTACCTAAAGCCTTATCATTACCTTGTGAAAGGTAGAGTAACATGTTCTTAAACATTAACTTGATGCAACATCAACGTAAAGATATATATAACGTATATTTCTTTTACAACTTTATATCTATAACATCAGTACAGACATACGACGTGATAAGTAAAGATGCTACCTTCAAATGCTGTCCTATGTGAACACGTTATAAGAATCGATTAATAAAACCTTTCAGTATTCCTTTCTCATAAAATAACATAAGCCCAATCGCTAAAAACCTAGCATCATATGAAGAACGGCCATTGTATGGCGTGTGGCAAAACAAACAAGATGGTGTTGGACAGGCTCTAACTTGGTACAGCAATATAAAACACTACAGATATCGATTGACCAGCGTATAGAAACAATTGTTTGACAACGTACATCGACAGTGGGCCGGTTTGCTAGCTCGCGCTATCATTTCGAGTGGATTGTGAGTTTCGTTAGCTCTTGGCTCATACGTACCGGAGGATGACGTTCAAATAACGCTCCGTGAGCCTCACAATAGCTCTCTTAGGCGACTCTTGGATCTTTGAGACTAGCTAAGCATAAGCAAACACAACGTATTAGCCATATCTGACTGGTCTGCCAGATATTGTGAGAAACAAATGGGTATACTAGCGGTGTCTGCCTGAAATCGGCAAACGTCCAGTAAGTGTGGTCAGTGTCGTAATTGTTTAACGTGTTAAGGCGGATTCGGAGACCATTTGTGGCTATTCCGCCACAGTGTGGACAGTATGCATTAGTCACAATAAGAATCTCACTGAAAAGCCAATACCAGTACCTGCCATTTCCTGAGCCAACGTGATCAACATTTACTTGTCTAAACTTCAACAAATATGATTTTTTCATTACATTTGGCAGCATTGGGAATCGAAAGTCATTATCCTAATGAAATATCAGACTTGATGATAAATTTGGTTCAAAGTAATTGTAAATGTTTACATTTTATGTCGTATTACAAAATATTTTGAGTTTCTCTGTGTAAGAAATCGTAAGAGCATGCCACCTTTATTTTAACCATATTTGAACATGCTTATCGTTGTACCTTGTGTATAATCATTAACATTTCATTAATGTATGACATACTAGCCATTACAGATGTATATAAACGCATATTTATTTAATTAAATAAACCCACTGCCCTCATAAAGCAGTGGATATATAACAGAGATATTCATATACATAGATACATACTTATGTGGAAGTATTCAAAATATTGTTGTGTTCAGTACTCACTGTAGATAATTATAATGGTGTGTTAGTGAATTCTGCCTTGTCTGATAGGAAGGACAGATGCCATTAGTGATCACAGACCTGGCAACAGGTGTCACGGTACGATTCTGACGTAATGGGACAGGAATGAAAACATAAATGCCACAGTGACAGCTGTCAATTATAAAATTGTGGAGCTACCTTCTATCAATACCCTAATGCTTCGCGAGATCCTCTGTTCAAATGAACAGGAAATAGGCGTTTAAGAAATGAATAAGTCTGGTGCAGTTTTAGCTGGACGTATAATAAATACATTGTATCCTAATTGTAAGCGATTTCACTTAAGAGGAGTTAATAAGGAGGTCTGGGTTAGCTGCAGTTCAAAGTAACAGTTAGTAGTTTCACGTTGACTCAGAACAAGGATGCTCCGCTGTTACCAACACAAAATTTAGTTTAGCAAATGAAAAATTAAAACAAAAAAAACAAACAAAATATTAAGTTAAAATGACCACTGAAGTAAATGACAGAAGAGTCAAAACTAAATTTAATGTCCACTTATAATTTAGGGTCACTCCATGGGACAGTCAGTCCAAGGACAGTGACCACTGTGATAAGCGGACCATGATGACACAATCAGGTTTCGTGCGACATTATAAGTCAATGCAATGTTAGCCTAATGCATTTTGTTATTAGCTGCCTTGTGTCGTTAAATTTAAATATGAAACAAAGATGGCAAACATCATGGCTGTGTGTTTTCAAGTGTGTCTCTCTCCTACGCCCGTGCGTGTAACAATGCATAAAGAGGCAGATCATTCGATAATGTTCGTAGTTGGTTAACGAGTACACCTGTCAGGTATATACCATTCCAGGTCCCTTCTATTTATTAAAGTTTCATTGTATATAGTTTACAATTTGTGATAGTAGTTTTTGAAATGTATAAACGTTCTGGGTTTGGTGACTGCATGTATATGCCATGTTGGGAATGTGACCTATAAATATCCCATCGTGGGAAATATCAAACTTGTTCTGCTCTCATTGGATGCTGGTCTAAATATGTCAGGGTGATGACTCGCGTGTAAAACCATCAAATTGTTGTCACAAATCTTTTTGTTTACCTAATCATAGAATATAACTGCCATTAAGCACATGGTTAAAATCAAGAAAAAAATCTAAACCTAGACAGATTTATCATTGTCTTTTCATATCCAAAGTAAACCATTTGGTTGCGAATGGGCGCCTCGTCATAACTGACATCGAACTGAATTTAGTTGCGAGTTGAACAAACATCCCCTGCTGGATAAAGAGTCCTTCAACAGCCATGTCGATAATTGGTACAGGGCTAATTGAACACAGAAACAGAGTTACCAGCGGGACAGGAGCCCATGACGGAAGCAGGTACACCTACCTTTACCATCTGCCGTGGGACGTGGAGCTACAGGCTGTTGCTGCTGCTGCTGGCAATGATGGTATCAAGGATGAATGAACCGCACTCCTTCCGCCAAGCTTCGCCGATTCCGAATGTCAGAAGCCCGACCTGTTTGGAGGGTTGCATGCTGTAAAATGACGGGACGATCCTGCCGACTTCTCTCTTATCATCGTTTTATTCAGCCTAATACAATGATAATGAGGATGCGCCGTCTTTGTATGAGCACGCAATGAAATATTGAACGTGTGCGTTTTGAACCGGCCGCCTCTTGTCGCTTGCACACGAGACAATGGACTGCCAATGACAGTGTGCACTCAGCTACAATGCCCATAAAGCCTGGAATGATCAAATCAAATAGAATTCGTTCAGGGTATTCAATGGGGAAAAGATACCCTGTTTGCTTGGAGACATAGGAAACAGAATTTCGGTCCAATAACATTGTGCCTAAGGCATCATGACCCACAAAGTTTATATCCTTTATAGAAATGTAGCACCATTTTAAAACCGACAAGCCGGAAAATTCTTAGGAATATTTGAGTTGTCATTCACGTCCTTTTAGTCGTTGTATTTTTTCAGTTTTCTGATAATATTAGACAAATGGGACGTCAGGTTGGTCTATATATTGAGAATACCGTGTATTGATTTACTTAACTCCTATCGATGAATGATAGTGGGGAGGCATATTGTATTATGTATTTGGCTGAATGGAACATACAGATATCTAGTGTTATTCCGGTAGAGGGATATCCACTACATATACGTAGTGACGACAATGGTGACCGTACGTAAGTATTTGGAAAATATTGTTGCATACACTTTCAATATATGATGTAAAAGTGACCTTGTCATAACAGACAAATCATCAATCACCAGGAACATCACTTTGAAATCATAAATCAATGCCAAACAGTGGAATGGTTGTCAACGGTAGTTGTGTCATCTTGACAATTGTCACCTAGGTGTCAATGGCATCAAATCCCCAAAATCCCCTGTATGGAGCCGACCTTTAAATTACCTGTTTGAGAGTGGGGACATTTCCAGAATGAAGTTCGTTCTATGATGTCACAATGCCATTTAAAAAGTGGTAAAATGTAACATATGTAAATTTGGGATTACACTTTCTTAGTAGAGCGGGCTAGGCGGCTGACTCTGTGTGCTGGCGATTAGGTGCCTGACTCTGAGGGTGGGAGTTTGAATCCCGGATGGGACTCAACCCGACAAAAGTACTAGAATCTGTACTTTACTAAGAAATTGTAATCCCAAATATAACATAGGTTACACGGGGGTCGTGTTCGTTGGCAATGTGTATATTGATAGAGATAGTGTCTGTCTTTAAGAGGATATGGTTGTGGATGGAGGGTATGGAGTGAGAGGGGGTAGGGAAAGGGGATGTTGGGTTCGAGTTTGGGATGATCATGAGTGAGACCCCCGAGACACTTGTAGGAAGGTGAGACCTGTTTCGGGTGATTCCAGTGTTTACCTGGAAGTTGATAATTACCCGATTTTTGTAGTCAATTTGCACATAAAACCGACAACACTTTTCAAATTCATAACTAATATCATCTTTCGTAAGAAATGTTCGCTTAAAGCAAAAGGGCTAATAGCATCGTGTGTAATTCTCACGAACAGCCTATTTATGTTTGGCGGTACAAACTGTTGGTGCCATACCTTACCACACCGTTTTGTTACATTAATAATAAACTAAGTTAGAGGAAAGAACTCAAAGTGTTCCTCTTTTGTTACTCTTTAATATATTCTTATGATATGGCATCAGGATGCTCTCATAACAGTAAAGTGTTGAATGTTTAAAATGTACCCTATGGAACTGTTTTATATGGATCTTCTAGTGTATCTTGTCAGTTAAGATTTGCAGAGCGTTTGATAATTGATGATCCCCAGAGGCACGAACCATGTTACCTTTGCATTAGTAAACGCAACCATGGATTAACACTTAGGACGGTGGCACTAAAACATACGTGAAACGTCCTAGCAGACTTTTAGACAGGTTTGGCTGATTGTAAGGTAGAATATGTCATCAATATACAATTCTTGATATGGGATTCAACGTGTAAAACACAGGGACGCGACTTAGAACTCTCCACTATTTCTGCTGTAATGAAACATTAGTTATGAATACACAATGGTATTTAGAAAGTGGTCAAATGCAACATCTATTTGGGATTACACTTTCTCAGTAAAGTACAGATACTAGTACTTTTGTTGGGTTGAGTCCCATGCGGGATTGAAACCCACACCCACAGAGTTGGGCACCTAATAGCCAGGGTTCGAATCCCAAATATAGCATATGTAACATTAGTTATGCCTGGAACACATATATACATTCTAAACAGTTATCTCGAATAGTTTCCATGTTTGACAATGCATATTAAAATGTTTTACTTTCCAACACAATTGAGACCAAGCTGAAAGGACCTTCGTAAGTACTTCGAGTGCTCCGACGTTCGACACAACCACAAATAATAACTTAATAAATAATACGCAGGGATCAAGCCTTATTTGGAGACAAACGTAACATCGCCACCTCGGCATTGGACTGTCATTTCTGTGTAGATTTATGGTAAGAGTGGTCCTTTGAACTTCATGCCTGATGGACACGTGAAGTTCAGGTTTAGAACTCAACAACCCATCTTGTCGTAAGAGGCGATTAACGGGTTCGGGTGGTCAGGCTCGCTGATTTGGTTGACACATGTCATCGTATCACAAATTAAGTAGATTCGATGATCATGATGCTGATCACTGGATTGTCTGGTCCAGACTCGATTATTTAGAGACCGCCGCCATATAGCTGGAATATTGCTGAGTGCGGCGTTAAACAACCAACCAGGCAACCAAGCAATCGTGCCTAATGGTCGACAAAACCCAGGATTGCTATAACCTGACGATAGGCAGACACGGTAGTCTGTTTCACACTGTTATTTTCCCTATTGTCCAGCCTTTACCGTAACGATCGATAAAGCACAGGATGAAGCAAGTCTAGATTGTCCACCGGCTCCACCTCACCGAGGCTCCTTTTAAGTTGAGATATAGCTGCGTGTTTCTATCAAATTTATACTTTTCTGAGGCTAAACTTCAATGTAGAAAACCGCTCTATAGTCCAGTTGTTCCAGACTGTCCCACAGGACATAGCATAGCTAGTTGTTCTTCGGACGTCTTAGACGCGGCGGTTCGCAGTGTTGAGTTTCTTGACATAGCTGCGCCAGGATCCTCTGACCACAATCACGATCCAAAGGTGAGTTTAGTTTTACGCCGCTTTTTTAGCAATATTCCAGCAAAATCACGGCAGGGGACACCAGAAATAGGCTTCACACATTGTACCCATTTGGGGAATCGAACCCGGGTCTTCGGCGTGACGAGCGAACGCTTTAACCACTAGGCTACTCCACCGCCCCGATCCAAAAGTGATTTTGTCACCAAAGTCGTAATCATCTACGACCCACTTCGGCCCTTCATAACTCATTAAACTGACATGCGTTTGAAGTATTCGTTGTGCATTGTGATTATTACACTGCTGTCCCCATCTCATGTCCAACATCATCTGGACATCCATATCTGACCAAGGCCGTCAGGAACACAGTGGTGATTGGTATCATTTAATATAATGAAACGTCGATTTCCAATATGCCCCACTCCTTGCCTTTCTGGGCGGTGGGGTAGCCTAGTGGTTAAAGCGTTCGCTCGTCACGCCGAAGACCCGGGTTCGATTCCCACATGGGTACAATGTATGAAGCCCTTTTCTGGTGTTCCTCGTCGTGATGTTGCTGGAATATTGCTAAATCCATACTCACTCACTCACTCCTTGCCTTTCTACTAAACATTCACTCTCTACTCTATTGTTGAAGACAGGTGACCAAATTGCGTTCACCTGAAATCTATCATCCAACTACTTCAGACATCAATGGAGTCGACAGAAACATACAGTTATATCCATGGCGTCATCGAATATATGATTATATCTTTGATAGTGACATCATAAACTTTCTAAGACGTTGAGTTGAAACTTCGCGGAATGACATAGCTAAGCAGGTCCCGAGTCTGATATGGACAATGACGTTTGTCTATTATCGGGGTTACAACAATGTAAGTATCAAAACTGATCCATAGTGCATCGTTTTGTGCATCTCACGCCTACGAATACCCTTCTTTCGAAGTTCAAATAGAAATTAAAACATCTACCTCCAATATTCCCTCAAGTTACTAACACTATGTTATCGTTTCCTTATCGAGTTCTCTATACAGACATGGACACGTTTAAGATGTCAGCACACACGTCATTGGATTCGTTCCTTATCCTTTCAACAATAGATATTATGAACCTATTGAATGTCAGAATCCTGAGACAATGAACATATCTGCCACGGCAGCACAACAGACAAGAGAGGGTACAAAGGGAATATACCAGTAGTACCTACAGCACTATAGACTTCAGTGGAGTGTCATCTTGCCATACCTGGTTGATGTCAACAGCCTGTGACAGACACAGGTACTTGATGCCTTACAATACAATAATGTTTCACGTCAGAATTAATCCTTTAAGTTTGTTACAGTTGATTTAATTTTAACCTTTGGTATAATGCCATGTAGTTGATTAAAATCTCTTTAACTATACGATTTCTAAAAGCACATTGATAATTAAAGGAAGGATTTATTTATGTCAAAACGGTTAAATATGTAGACATCAAGAATGTTCCTGTCGATTTTCAAACTATGTCCGCTCCATGCCTTCCGTCATCCACAACCTATTTATTCTTTCACTTGTGGATGTTTTTACTGGAAGGTCATGTTTCATACCTTAGCATTTGCATTGTTACATGTCAGATATAAACAATAAACGAAAGGATGTATAGATGGGTGGTAGCGGAATACCTATCTGAGGACTGATGTTTCTAGGTTCAATAAAGAGCGAGTGATTGAGTTTAGTTTTACGCCACACTCAGCAATATTCCAGCTATATGGCGGCGGTATGTAAATAATCGAGTCTGGATAAGACAACCCAGTGATCAACAGCAAGAGCATCGATACGATGGGATACGATGACATGTTTCAACCAAGTCAGCGAGTCTGACCACCCGATCCCGTTAGTCGCCTCTTACGACAAGTATAGGTTACTGAAGATCAATTCTAACCCGGATCTTCACGGGTGGCTCAATAAAGAGATCATCTGTAGACACTTTGTGAATGGAAGTTCAGGAGTAGTTTTCAATTAGACTGACTGACTGACTGAGTTTGGTTTTACGCCGCTTTTAGCAATATTCCAGCAACATCACGGCGGGGAACACCAGAAAT